TCTTTTAGAGACAGAACCCAGTTTCAAGTTGTTTAGTTAGACCATGATGTGCCTGGAAAATACAGAATACCYGTTTTTAAGTGAAACCCAACAACTACTCCAATAGATTCAATGATAAATCAGTATAACAGTTTGTATGAATCGAGCTGAGTTTGCCATGATGTGGGTGGAGGTGGGCAGCAAAATGATGTCACTTGAAAAACAGTTTTCCAAACCATGAACATAAAGTCTGGCCCTTCAAAATGCGTCCGCCCAGCTCACTGGGTGTTGTGTCATAAACACTCTGAATTCAGTGAGACTGACTGAAAATGTTATTTTCTTGCACACAAGCTTGAGTTACCAACTAGAGTCTAACAGTTGCAGTACGGTGAGAAACTACTTCAAACAAAACTTTACTGATGGTGTTTATCCTTTTCAGTCAGTAGGTTCTGTGAGAAGCTGCGAGACGAGATGAGCCGAGACACCAGCTTCATCATGTCGTACAGTCAGCAAGATGAGACCCGGTTAGAGGATCTGTACACGGACACCGTGATGGAACTGTTGAATGACTGCAATGAAAGCCTTGGTTTTATTGACTCTTTGAACCAGTTCCTGGGGGATGAGGGGGTTTTCAATCCTCAAGGTGAGATCATCTATGTGATGGGAGATGCTGGTGTGGGGAAGTCTATCCTTCTGCAGAAGCTGCAGAACCTCTGGTCCAAAAAGGAGCTGCAGACAGATGCTATCTTTTTTTTCAAGTTCCGCTGCAGGATGTTCAGCGTCTTTAAAGAARCAGAGCAGATATCCCTCAGGGATCTTTTGTTCAAGTACAACTGCTACCCGGATCACGATCCCGACAATGAAGTCTTCKATTACATCCTGCGCTTTCCGGAGAAGGTTGTTTTGACTTTTGATGGTTATGATGAGATTCAGGAGGTTGTAGACCAGATGAATKTTCCTGAGATGGTGTCTCCAGAGGACAAGGCTAACCCCCTTCAGCTGCTCAACAGCTTGCTCTCTGGGAAACTACTCAAGGGCTCCAAGAAGGTGCTCACGACTCGAACAGGGGATGAAATGCAAAGTCGGGTGATCAAAAAGAAGGTGATGTTACGAGGGTTTTCCCCAGACCACCAAAAGTCGTACATACAACTGCACTTCAAGGAACAGGAGCATCGGGAGCTGGTGTCAGTTCAGCTGGATGCCAGCCCTCACCTCTGTGGCYTGTGTTCCACTCCGTTGTTCTGCTGGATTGTATTCAAGAGCTTTAGTCACCTGCACACGGTGCATGATAGTTTCCAACTGCCTGAAACCTGCATCACACTTACTGACATCTTTCTCCTGCTGTCCGAGGTCTTCCTCAGCCGCTCAGCGTCCCCTGCTCCTTCCCTGCTGAAGAAAAGCACCCGCTGCACCTCGGAGACTTTCCGAGCTGGGCTCAGGCCTCTTGCTGCCTTTGCTAAGCTGGCCCTGCAAGGTTTGAAGGAGGGTAGTTTCCTCTGCAGCCAAACAGAAATCAGTGAGTCTGGTCTTACGGAGGAGGACATGGCCATGGGTTTTCTCAGACCTGTCAGGGACTGTAACACCAGTGGAGAACCYGCTACCTTCGAATTCATCCACACCACCCTCCAGTCTTTCTTGGCTGCGTTTGCTCTGGTGTTGGATGAGGAGGCCCCGCCCACTTCCATCCTCAGGTTCTTCACAGAATGCAGCAGAAATAGACCACAGCCTTGTCTGCCTTTGGCTTGGTGTGTCAGCAAGTCTGTCAATTCCGGTGAAAATAGGCCAGTTGCAACAAACCAGCGCCTTCAGTTTACAAATCTGTTCTTGTCTGGACTGCTGTCGAAAAACAACACAAGTCTGATGGGACATCTAGTACCTCTTGCTTTACTAAAGAAGAAGCGAGCCTTGTTGAAGTCTTATCTGTCCAACAGCGTCAAGTCCCACCTGCAGAGCTTACCCATCTTTCAAGGTAACGAAGGCAAAAAAGTTCATGTTTTGCCMAACTTTCTTTGGATATTAAGATRCATCTTTGAGACAGGAAGCAAAGACATCGCTAAGATGACAGCTAAGGGCATCACAGCGGGTTTCATCAAGCTGGGGTACTGTAACGTGTCCTCAGGGGACTGCACCGCCATAAACTTTGTGCTGCAGCACCGTCAGAAGCTGCTGGGTCTTGACATGGATAACAACATCATCAGTGATTACGGCGTGAAGCAGCTCCGGCCTTCGTTTTGCATGATGACGGTTGTGAGGTAAGAAGAATGCTTTTAGCTGTGGTGGTCCAGAAGGTCTTCCAGATTCATTTATGACCTAAAACATCTGAGCCCCAAAGCTGAACACCAACAGAAAAACCTTAGTCTGGTCATGTGTTTACTGCGGTAAAATTATCCAGTGATACATGATATGAATCAATGATTTTTCAGTATTTATTGTATTTACTCCAGCTTGTTTTATTGATGCATGACTCATTTTCCTTTAAAAGTCAGTTGAAAACATTTTCAGTTAAAAACCTTTTTTGTTCGCATTTTATTGTTTCATCACTGACTGCAAACTGTCTTGGTTCAGATGTAACAAAATCTGCTCAAATCAGTCCACTACCATCATGAAGTATATGATGGATCCCTTTCTTTGATCATAATGTCTTTATTTTAATGTAAAACACCAATTTCTTAAAGTTGAGATATTTATAATCTAACTAAAAACAGAATGCAGTGATTTGTTTTATTTATGGGATATAGTATACATGTCAGATTTTAAAACACTTTTAGGGGAAAAAGGTACATTTATGGCAACAACACATCTCAGAAAGTCATGTTTTCCTCCATGAAGCATTTTAAATAAATGTCTCAACATTTTGGACCCGAGGAGACCAGCTGCTGGAGTTTTTAGAGGGAATGTTTTCCCGTTCTGGTCTGATGGATGATTCTGCCCCTTCAATAATCCTGGGTCTTTTCTGCTGAATGCGTGGCTTCATCATGTATTAAACAGGTGCCGACAGGTCAGTTCAACACCTGGACTCTTCTGCAGTAAAGTCATGCTGTTTACTGGACACAGGATCAGGTTTAGATTCGTCCTGCTGGAATAAGCACATTGTAAATGGACTGGTCTTAACATAGAACACAATGAACTTTAGAAGTGTTCCTGAGTCCATGCAGTCATGTCCAGAACAGAACCAGACCTGGGTTTTGAATTCATTCACTCATTCATTCATTCATTCATTCATTCATTCATTCATTCATTCATTCATTCATTCATTCATTCATTCATTAATCTAAACTGGACCTGGTGGAGATTCTTCACTATTTGAATCCTCCATTAGGTTTCATTCAAATCTTATAAACCAGAGGTTCCCAAAGTGCTGTTTGCAGGGGGGCGTGGTATGACTGAATCATATATATATATATATATATA